TCCTGTACCACTGCAATGCTGAGCATTAGAACCAGTGCCTTTCCTGTACTGGACGTGTCCTGTACCACTTGAGCTACATTTCCAGCCCTTGGTGTGCTGACATAGGTCTTTCTGTGTACCCAAGCTGACCATAAACTTTCTGTCCTGTTTCTGCCCCTGCAGTATTATGATTCCAGGCCTGTGCTGCTCTGCCTTGTTTGAGACAGGTCTGTTGTTGTTGCTGTAGTTGTTGTTGTTGTTGTTTGCTTGGGTTTTACTGTTTTTATTTTGAGACAGGGTCTTTTTTGTTGCCCTTGCTGTCTTGAAACTGGCTATGTAGACCAAACTGGCCTCAAAAATCACAGTACCTCTACCACCTGAGTGCTGGGATTAAAAGTATGTTTAATTTTAATTTTTGTTTAAAAATTAAAACAAAAACAATTTGTTTTGTTTTTATGGGGACAAAATTTAATCAAATTTGAAGAAGGTAGTGGTAGAATACTGCTTAGAATTCACAAAGCCCTTAGTTTGATTCTATGTTACACACACACCCCCCATACAAAATGTGAAACAAGTCACATCCTTTTCTACTGCTTTGACAACAGGTCACACAGCTTTTGTTTTGGTGAGCTATTAACTTTTGTTTCAGAACACATACATGGAACGGATATTTGGTTCATCAGCAGCGGTCACATAAAGAAAACTGGACTGCAAATGAATCACAGCTTAGCTCCAGATTTTTAAGAACTTTGCCCTGCTTCGGAGACAGAAGAAAAATTATGAATGAAACTTCTATTTCTCTACACAAAAACTATTTACTCTGTCCAGTCTAGCACAATTCTCAGAGTTGTATCACGTAACTGTGGGCCATCTTTTATCCCATTCTTGAAATGTTCCTTCTTCATTCAAATGGTCCAGTGAGTATTTTTGTTTGTTTGGTTTTGTTTTTTCTTGTTTTGTTCTTGGAGGTTTCTCTCTGTAGCTTTGGTGTCTGTCCTAGAACTCCCTCTGTAGACCAGGCTGGCCTCAAACTCACAGAGCTGCCTGCTCTGCCTCCCAAGCACTGGGATTACAGGCATGTGTCTGGCTGGACCATTGAGTATTTGAATGTCTCATAAGTACCAGTTCTGTTCCATTGTAAAACACAGCATCTGTTCTACACTCTATGATATGTGAACCAGGCAGGGAACCAGGCTAGAGAGTTTAAAACACACGCACACAGACAGACAGAGACACGGGGACATGGATCATCCTTGAAACAAGAATGCCAACTTTATTGTGATCCAGGGAAGCTTATATAGGGATCCTTAACTGATAGCCATGTCCCAGCTCTTGGAATCTTTCAGCTGCAGGCCTCACCAGAACCTACTCCCCTGCCATCAAGGTCTTGTGCTCAGAGCATCTGCAGGCACAGGTAAACAAGTTGTTTTGCTCAGTTCACTCTGGCAGGCAAAGGGTCTGAGGCAGGCAAAGAAAGTCAAGGGGCCGGGGGTCTGCAGCCCCCAACACCCCAACCCTGGGAATGAAGCATGAGCAAAGCACACTGACCTCGTGGTGCTTACATTTCGGTCACCAGGGAAGGGGACAGGAAATAAATGAAGCAAGCAGAGGGCTGAGTTGTAGAACAGCGTCTGCCTAGCATGCACTAAGCCCTGAGCTTAAACCCAAGACCTCAGAAACAAGGTGTGATAGTGCATACTTGTTATCCCAGCACTTGAGAGTTAGGGCAGGAGGATCAGGAGTTCCAGGTCATCTTCAGCTACACAGAATTTGAAACCAGCCTGGGATACATTAAACTATGTCACACACAAAAAAAATAAAATAAATTAAAGTACAGAGCTGAGGATGTAACTTACTGAAGAACCTTGCTTCACACATGCAAAGTTCTGAGTTCAAACCCAGCACCTCTGATCTGGGGCTGGAGAAATGGCTCTGTGGTTAGGAGCACTGGCTGCTTTTGCAGAGACTGGCAACACTCACATTGCCGTTCACAACCGGATGTAACTCTAGTTCCAGGATATTCAACACACTCTTCTGGCCTTGAGGGCATTGCACTCATGTGATGTGCAGACATACATGCAGGCAAAGCCCTCTCCCACATAACCTATAAGTAAATATAGTGAGCATAGCTAGAGGAGTAGGGAATTGAGGTGGGTGTGTTGTTGTTCTGTGTTGCTCAAGAGGATCAAGGAAGGAGACTCACTCCAGGGTACAATCTAGGCTCTCTGGCAGCAAGCAAGCCCAGCCTCTGATGGACTGAACCTTCAACTGCCGTTCAGAGCATATTATTGATTGCCACACAAAGGTCATTTTTTGTGTGTGTGTTAAACAAGTTCCTCTTACCAAAGTCCCTTTGATCTATATGTTCTCTGAAGGAAATCATCACCCCCCCTTATTGTGTGCTGTTTGCCCTTGCTGTGCACTGTTTGCAATACCCAATAATTCAAGGTGCTCCACGTGTGCCAGGTCAGTCTTGTGACCACAGTCATGCAACAGATGGGGAACGCCCTCAGAAAAACAACCCTGTAAATCATAGAATGCGATCGCCGTTCTCTGCTGTGATTTCTTCCAGGTCTAAGCACCTCCAACTATCACATCCTAATGTTGTTAGATACCGTGAGAAAGGACGTTTCATTCTAATGTTAGCCATGACGCAATGACTCTGCTAGGTCCCCACTACATCGGAGCACTGTTCGGAATGATCTGAGAAATACAGGGGCCCCGAGAGGGAACGTGGCTGATGTCTTTGGGGTGTCATCTCAGGGAGAGCCCACTGTCCCAGTGCTGGGTCAGCGAGGTGAACATGGTGAGAGAGGAGGTCATTTCCTTTCATTTCTTTCACTTCAGGAGATGGTGACCTTCAGAGATGTGGCGGTAGACTTCTCCCAGGAAGAATGGGATTGTCTGAATTCTTCTCAAAGGCATTTGTACAGCCATGTGATGTTGGAGAACTACAGGATCCTGGTGTCTCTGGGTAAGTATGCTCAATAGTTTTATATCAACTTGACACAATCTAAAGTTATCTGAAAGGAGGGAACTTCAATTAAGAAAATGTCTCCATAAGATCAGGCTGCAGGGAATTTTCTTAATTAGTGATTGACGTGGGGAAGGAGCATCCCATTGTTGGTGGCACCATCCCTGGGCTGATGGTCCTGGGTTCTATAAGAAAGCAGGCTAAGCAAGCCATGTGGAGCACTAAACAGCACTCCTCCACGGCCTCTGCATCAGCTCCCGCCTCCAGGATCCTGCCCTGTTTGAGTCCTGCCCTGACTTACTTCAGTGATGGACTAAGATGTAGAAATGTAAGCCTAGTAAATCTTTCCCTCTGTTTCAGTCACTGTTCTGGTGCTGTGAAGAGACACTCTGTCCATGTCAACTATTATAAAGTTAAGCATTTAACTGGTGATGGCTTACAGTTCAGAGGGTTAGTCCATTGACATCATGGCAGGAAGCATGATGGCACACAGGCAGAAATGGTCCTGGAGAAGTAGCTGAGAATTCAAAGAAAGAAAGAAAGAAAGAAAGAAAGGAAGGAAGGAAGGAAGGAAGGAAGGAAGGAAGGAAGGAAGGAAGGAAAGAAAGGATCAATCAAGAACCTACCAACAACAACAAAAAAAGCCACAAAAACAAAAATCAAAATGAACAGACAAAATACCAGTAAGAAAAAAGGCAAAAACAAACAAAAGGAAAGAAAACTGCTATTGCATTTATTCTGTGTGGGCTAACTCCTCCTGGGCATGGGGCCTGCCCTGTGGTATGGCTGGTACCAGATGTGCGCTGTGGGCTGCCCTCAGCATAACCAAGTCATTTCTTTCCACATGCTTAGGGCTTTGCTTTGCCAAGCCAAGTATGATATTCTTGTTGGAACAAGGAAAAGAGCCATGGATGGTGAAGACAGAACTGACAGGCAGTTTGTCCACAGGTGAGTGGGGGGTGGGGTCTAGAAAGGCAGAGACCTTTTAAGGTGACAGCTCAACCTGGCTCAGGAAAGTGTCCCTGGGTTCTTTTTTGTGGCAGGTTCCTAAATGTCTTAGGCCTAAAAGAAACCTGGGGCTTTCCCAGATAGTCTCCCCACTGGCCAACCTTGCTCTCTCCTCCCTCTTGATGACTTACTTCTTAATGACCTACTCCATCTGTTTTCCGACTTCTGTTGCTTCTCACTTTCATAATTCACGTCAAGGTTTTAAATAGTCTTTTCCTGGTTTGCTGAACTCTGGGGCCATACCGAGAGTAAATGAGGTACCAGGTTCAAATTCTGTTCTCACATGTGGTGAAATTCTAGGACAGTCGCTTCACCTCTTTGTTTTGTCACAGCTATAATAATACATTTGAAGTACCGTGGACTTTTCTGCTATGTGCTGTAACCTCGATCAGAGGTAGTGGTGTCTCCCCAAGTGCCTGCCTCATCTTCTCTGTCAGTTCATGCATTCTCATTCCGCTAATCAACACCAGCATTACTCAGCTTGCCCTTCAGACATGGTTACCTTCAGCAGCCTCCTCCCCGCTCCCCACCCCGGGGTCCTAGAGGCTGCAGCCTCCCCCCCACACTCCCCACCCCAGGGTCCTAGAGTGTTGCATGTGCACACAGATAACTCAACAATTGCCGGGCAGCCGTAAAGATGTGATAGAGCTGCAGATGGCATAGACGAAAAGGAACCCCAGAGAAAGGGTGAGAGAGGGGACTCTGGTAGCGGGGAAGATGACGTCTTTAACAATAGCAGCTGGAGAATGTTGGGGAACAAAGGAGCAAGAGCTTGGGTTTGTGGTGCGGGAAGGATTTGCAGACAGACAGGAAACACTGAGGAAACATGAAGGACAAGTTTTCTGTCATCATAAATCCCTCTCTCATCCCACACCGCCTCAGCCAGTGTTTTATGTCCACAGTCTATTTTCTGAGAAGACATTTTGATGGGTAACTGTAGTATCAAATGATACAGAATTAAATTGTATGTGTTATTATTAAAGAATCCCTCACATAAAGAAACATCACATATATGGAGTCAAGAAAGTATCCTATTTTTAAAGTGCGTATATGTGTGTGCACATGTGTTTGCGTGCCTTAGTGACTTTCCTCTTGCTGTGAAGAGACACCATGATCACCTGGAGTTGCAGGCAGTTGTAAGCCTGGGTGCTTGCAGCCAGTTTTGGGTCCTCGGAAAGAACAGTAAATGATCTTACTCACTTGAGCCATCCCCTAGATGAAGTTTAAATAGAACAAAAGCCCATTTAGTTACTTCTTAGCTTAAGAAATGGATAACTGGGGCTGCTGAGATGTCTCTGTGGGGAGCAACACTTACTTTCAAGCCTGACAATCTGAGTTCCATCTCTAGGACCCAAATAGTGGACAGAAAGAACTAACTCTAGCAAGTTGTCCTCTGACATCCACATGGTGGATAATTTTTTTTTTTTTTTTTTGGTTTGTCGAGACAGGGTTTCTCTGTGTAGTCCTGGTTGCCCTGTAACTTGTTATGTAGACCATTCTGGCCTTGAACTCAGAGATCTGCCTACCTCTGCCGCCTGAGTGCTGGGATTAAACACATGTGCCATCACCACCAGCAAAATAAGTTTAACAATGTAATAAAAATTTTAAACAAGGTAAGAGAAAATTTTATCTGTTGATTATTTTGTACAAATTTAAGTTATAATGAAGTAAAACATAAAATAAATAGAAAATGGTCAATGTCATTTTAGGACCTTGATGAACTCTGTACAGATACATGACTGCCTTCCCTTCCATTTTCTGTAGCACTTAGTACATTTAACATGCAATTAAAGTTCCCTGATTGCTTTTTGTCTCTGCTAAGGAGACAAGATCAATGAAGGCAGTGGTCATGATACTGAAAGCATCCACAAGAGCATCTCACATCAGATAATTATTTTTCAATGAATGTCCTTCGACAAAGCAATTCTGGGAATGCGGACTACTTCAGTGTCCATAATTACAGCCAAGTCCAGTCGTAGGCCTCCCTTCTCACCCTGTGAGTCCAGTCGTAGGCTCCCTTCTCACCCT